AAAAAAAAAAAAAAAAACTGATAGTATCGAGTGCTTGCATACATAAACTAAAATTCAAATGAATTTTAGAACATATTGTAGTTTTAGTTTTTTATTGGGGGCTCTGAAAGCTAGTAGAATCAGAACCTGCGGGCATGAATATTGACATAATGTAGAGTTCAAAGCTGCTTACTTTTTTCAATCAAGAACCGATTAGCGTAGTCTCTGGGAACTGTTTGCGTTGGCTCCGAGTTCTGTAGACTTGTTTTCATTTATTTGCTTTAGGAATTAGACACCTGTGACTTGGTGCCAAGCGGCCATTGATCGACTGCAGTGGATATGATGCCATGCTTGTGCACTTAGTTTGTTTTCTGATTTAAACAGTGAAAACTTACTGCAGTGCAGTTTTCGGGGATGAAATATGGCCTGCTGCTGAATACGGGAGAACAATGTACACAATGCGTCAAAGAATCGGCCCTCTGCTCATGAAAATGCAAAAAAGATATGGTGAATTTCGGTGATTTATTATGCTAATTGTGGCTGACCCATGGTTGCCGAACCTTTGCTTAGGCCTCAAATGAAATTTATGAAGTACCTTTTTTTTGGGGGGGTTATTAATTATCAGGAGAAGTGGATAATACGGGTGAATTGACTGAAAAGGAAATCATTAGAGCCGAGAGGAACTCTGGTGTTGTTAGCAACAGAGTGAGGGAAATCCAAGTAAGCGCATTAGTTGTCAATTTTTTTTCCATATTTCATCGTTGCCCTCATTTATTTATTTGTTTATTTGTCTTTTTGGTGCTTTGGGACCAGTGGCTTTTGATTAATACAACTCTGAATTTCAACTGATGCAGATGCAAAATTACATGAGGAAGAAAGAGCAAAAGGAACAGAGAGAGACCGACCTTCGTGAAGGGTTGAAGCTCTACAGGTATGCCGCTCATCTTGTCCGTCACGATTGCACCGATGCAATTAAACGTTGCAATCATTTGGTCTTTTTCTTTTTCAAATTATTACTGAAGGAGTGGAAAATATGAAGAGGCTTTGGAAAAGTTTGAGTCAGTATTGGGATCAAAACCGGAGCCAAATGAAGCTGCGGTAGCGAGTTATAATGTAGCTTGCTGTTATTCAAAGATCAATCAGGTAATTGTATACTTCAGTGCTTTGACTGGATCTTGATGTGATTATACATTAAAATTGTGGGAATCGTGAGTCCTTCATTTCATCAGGCCCTTTTGCAGTACTCATACAAGTTCTATGGTCTTAGATTCAATTCATGCTGATTAAAACAAAATGGGTTTCATTACTAAAACAACCATTGAGGTCGACTGTTGCAGTTATTAGGCATGCGACTGAAGTCCTTTTTCCTATGATTTTTCTTGCAGGTACAAGCTGGACTTGCAGCCCTCGAGGATGCTTTGGAAGCCGGATTCGAAGATTTTAAGGTTATAGCTGATAAAGTATTTTTTTAAGAAAAAAGAAAGAACAAGAAAAAGAAGAATAAGAAAAATTGAGACTCTTTCTGTGCTCAAATTACGAGAATATGTATTGTCTTATTCTATCTTTTTCCTCTACTGCCAATTGTTATATGTGCAGAGAGTCCGGACGGATCCAGACCTCGAAAACATCAGAAAATCGGAAGAATTTGACCCTCTCGTGAAGAGATTCGACGAATCATTTATCAACGAGAACGCAATCAACGCTATCAAATCTTTATTTGGATTTAACAAGAAATAAAAATGTCTGGAGTTCATTTGCCGTTAAAAAACGAACACAAAAGCTTCGCTGAGTAAACAAGATTTCGACATGACAGACGCTAGTTGACCATTCGATTCTGTGTGGAATAGTCATAGAGCTTGGTTACATTTTTTTGCAGTGAAGTTCTGTTTTTACTTTGTAAATTGTTTGTTGTAAGTTGTAACTACATAGCTGACTCATGTATTGAGGCAAATGCCCCTACTGCTGATCAATCCACTTATATAACAGTTAAAGCTCTTTTCCGCAGAGAATTTTGTTGGTTCAAAGTCGAAGGGGTTATCGATACACAGAAAATGCATAAACTTGATAAAAGGTAAATACTTCCGAATATGTTTCTCCATGATAATACCATTTCAATTGTGTCCATATTCGGTTTCTGAATTTTGGAACAGTTATGCAACTCATTCATGCTCACCATTTAACACTAAAACACTCCTGACTCAAAAGCTAATTAAAAAAAAAAAGGATAATTGAATTCAGTTCTGTTGATCTGCTCTGCTGTGGATTAATCTCTATATCTTTTGTGAGATTACAGTGAAGTTATCCAAAATCTTCATCACATTTTATGGTCAATGCTGTTGACAAACTGAGAAGCACCGGAATCATAGAATAACACAAAGGCAACTGCTGATTTCCTCTTCGCTATCGGTATCCTCTGTTTCACTGAGACACGAGAAGCTGATTTTAAATTTTGTACAAAATAAGCTGATTTTGACAATATAGACATGGTTTATTTCCCTTTTATTTTCTAATTTTTCTATTTTTCTCGATAGCCTGTTGAGCATCAGCCAAACAAGCGGATAAAGTAGTCGACATTCAGAAACTCGTCTCGAAACTACACCATCCACGGCGAACACTGCTTGAAATTTCGATTCGTAAATGTATTTTTTTAGGATGCATTAACTCAATCTGAAGGATTAAATGATCCATTTTTCTTTCTTGCCAATAGATAGTATATTGCTTTTAGTTCATTTAAGATGATTTTTTATTTTATCTTACAATACTTATAAATCACTTCAATTTTTTGAGATCAAAACATAGCCTTCATCATCTTCTTCTGATTGTTAATATAAACTTATATATTGACACAAAAAAAAAAAGATTCAAATTCAAAATTTAAAAAAATAAAAATAAATAAAATGTAGTGATGATCTCACCTGGATTCAAACTCCTTGACCTCAGCAAGTTCCTTGCCTAACTTATCCTTCCATTGCACTCTTTTTTTCCGGGCCGAGCCGGGCTTTCTGATACAGCTTTTGAATACATCTAAATCCACATCCTCACAATTCCCATTCGCGCCCTCGCCTCGTGAGATTTCCACTTCGACCCCAGACGACGACTTATCAGAGTCCTCGGCTATCACATTCACAGAATTTTCCAATTTTGCAGGGGCCGAATTGTAAACATGAGCAGCTGAGGGCTTGCAGAAACACATGAAATTGAATGGACACTCTCTCTTCTTGAAAAACAACACTCTCACTCTCATCAATATCATTTCCTTCATCAACCACTCATTTTCATTTTATTTTACTATCTATCGATTATCGGTACACATATCTGCAAGAAAAAAGGACAACATTTCATGCTGAACAAAAAACTCTATGTCAAAAGAATGTGATCTGGAACTTTGAAGGTTCTTGATGCACTGGTTATGCTCAAGACATGAAAAAGATGGATACATATGAGGAGATAAAATGACTGTCCTGCCCCTCTTTCATGAAAGCTACATTCATTCACCTGTATTGTATGATTTTATGCCCTTTTAAAAAGTATTCTGACTGTAACTAACATAATCCAGTATTATTACATTCTCTAAGTTTTTCTTACATATATATGACATTATTCTTTAGAAATTCATTCAGCCCTAACATAATATTTTTTTTTCTAATTGATTTTCATAGGAGAGATGATGGATTGTGGGCTAAGAATGTGACCTTTGATTGCCTTACAATACAATATTGTATAATAAAGGCGCACAATGTATGATGGCTTATGAAAAGAGTGTCCCATGCCTCTTATAAGTGGTGGGGCTGTTGGGAATCAGCAGCATGCAATGTGTTTTGAACCACCATCATCATTCTTGTCATTCTAATTAATTGAAATAGGTTGCCTATATTTAGTTGCTAGTTATCTATTACACTACTATGTGTTATAAGTTGAGTGTCGAATTACACGAGAGGCCTACAGACTGATTAGTGTAGATGGTTCAGTTCTTACAATTTGAACAAGAAAAAACAAAAATTTGCAATGGAACTAGAAGCAGGAAGAGTATAACCGAGGTAAGAATATCTCTTTTCGCAAGAGGAATATGCCTCGTATAGTGTTGACGGATTTATGTGTCTCGTACCAAAAGATACAACGACAATCGTCACTCAAGATGTAGCACACCAGACTTCGGAACTCCGAGTCTGGCAAGTCGGCGGGCGCGCGTGAGGAGATAGTTACTACTTGAGATGTTTGCTAAATGTTGTTCGCGTTGCTATGGACCGCATGAAAGTTAGCAACGTCCAGTATCTGACTTATCAAAATGCTTGATTTGAACTCGGGTTGTTGGATGATGATACATAGTATATAGACGGTATAGTCGAAGCAAATCATTGGGCATCTGCGGAGTCTTCTAAACATATGTTTGTGTCATTGTTGGTTTTTGGTTCTTCGAGTAGATCTGATGATGTATGGGATGGTGTTGGCAACTTTTATCTGATGAAATTCTCTATAGGCAGCGACAACTGTTCAATACCAATGGTAAATTTTCTTTTCTATATATCTTTCACTTTATCATGTGATTTGTTATAGTATTTTATTCTCTTCAACACTATGCATTATTTTATTTTGAATCCTTAACAAATATTTTGGATGCCCAACTTCTAGATTTGCGGCTCAATGATAATGTTATAAAGAATCTCACCCTTGCTGAAATTGAGATTTTGTTGTGAATGTGTGGCACAAGTCTTCATGAATATTTGTCTATGTTTTACCTGGAAAAAAAAAAAATTATACATACCACTTCAAACCGCATTATATTGGATGAACTAAATTACGATCAGAAGACCCTTGTTCTGGATCACGAAACACTTCCTAAGAGAATGACTGACGAACATAAAGGGGTTTATTAAAAAAATATGACCTCTGTCGATTTAGGTACCAGTGGTTTATTTTTGTATACATCTATGGTGGGACTAAAAAGACGTACTTGTGGAATACTTTATCTACGACATTACGATCGAAGGGTAAAATTGGATTGAATACTTGGTGTGAAATTACACGAGAATCCTACAAACTGAAGTGTATTTTTCAGTTCTTACAAAAGATCTAAAAAATAGAAAATTACAATTGAATTGAAAAATAAATTACAACTGAAAAACGGAAAGATTTTAGCCGAGGCGAGTAAAACTCTTTCCGCAAGAAGAATACGCCCCGTGTGTTGCTAACGGTTCAGGCATAACTTCCCAAAAAATACAACGGCAAACGTCTCTAAATCTGTAGCACACCAGATTTATGAGCTCCAGCGAACTGGAACATAATCGAGAATTGAGCACTTAGAAATAAAAGGAATATCTTAAAACAAATAAAAATATCAATTGTTTCTTCTCTTTTGATATTTTTATATCTGATATTTGGACATAAATCTATTTTTCTTTCCTTTCTCTTTCTCTTTCTTTCCTCTCTTTTTCTCTTCTTTTTGGTGTTTTATCATCCTGGCCGAGGGCCTATTTATAGTAGATGATAACCTCCAAATTGACATAAAAAGTATATTATTATTATTATTATTATTATTATTATTATTAATAATAGTAGCAAGCGGGAAAGGGGGAAAGTGGGCAAGTGGATTTGTCAAATGGGCAGCTCATCCGCCACTACTTAACACTTTCCCTTTATATTTTTTTTATTTTTCTTATTTTTTTTAATCTCGCGGCGGCTGCACATGTAGGCACCGCCCCCTTTTACACTTTTTCCAACAATGATCCTCCACAAAAGTGTAAATATATATAGGCGATTGTGCTCAATCCTCACAAAACTTTATAGCATAAAAAAAGGTAAGTTTTGGCTTTGAACCTTTCTTAGTAAACATCATCGGATGCATTGGCGGCCTAGTGGACATAATGTCTTGAACTATTTCTCCATAGTGTACACCGAGACAATGACATTCACACAATAAAGTCTTAACTCCATTCTGTTCTATCGTTGTGTCCGTTTTGGCCATGGACAACACAATGAATTCATAAGTGTTTACAATTGAAGCGGCCCACACTTCACACTTATATAGGTGACCTCCCTATCAAGAGTATCATGTCTTACTCCTCCTTTACGAGGTTAAGGATTCATTAAAAGTCCATATGACTTACCCTCACCACAATCAACAGGTAATCTTGCACTTGGAGTGCTCTAGAGAATAGCTTTGGACATTCATATGTTCCAAGTGCTCAACTGAATTTTAATAGCTTAGTTTTCCCTTTGAACCAAGTTCGTGGGATCTCCACTCAACATGGTAGGGTTACCACTATGATCATTCTTTACATTGTGGATTTTTAAGCCTATTCCCTCTAGCAAAACTGTCAATTGATCTCTATTCAATCCTTTCGTCAAAGGATCATCCAAATTTTCCTTAGACTTCACATAGTCAATGGAAATAATACCATTTGTGATCAATTGACGTACGGTATTATGTCTACGACGAATATGTCTAGACTTACCGTTATACAAGTTGCTTTGCGCTCTACCTATAGCAGCTTGGCTATCACAGTGAATCATCACAGACGGCAAAGTCTTATCCCAACATGGAATATTGAATATAAAATTTCTAAGCCACTCATCTTCTTCACCAAATTTATCTAAAGCGATGAACTCTGATTCCATCGTTGACCGAGCTATACACGTTTGTTTTGTGGATTTCCACGAAACTGCACCTCCTCCAATACAGAAAACATATCCGCTAGTGGAGCGAGAATCTCTCGAATCTGATATCCAGCTTGCATCACAGTACCCTTCAAGTACGGATGGATATCTCGAGTATTTTAGCCCGTAATCAAGGGTGTACCTCAAGTACTTAAGTACCCTTCTCAAAGCATTCCAGTGCTCATGACTGGGATTGCTCGTAAATCTGCTCAACTTATTCACCGGATAGGCCAAGTCTGGTCGTGTACAATTCGTCAAGTACATCAGACTCCCTATTATCCGTGAATATTCCAATTGAGCCACTGGTTGACCTTTGTTGACTTCCAGATTTATACTAAGATCAAGGGGTGTCTTACACCTAGGCTCTGCACCGTCATAGGTATCAAATTTCTTGAGCACTTTCTCTACATAATGAGATTGTGACAAGACAATTCCATCTTGGGTTCTGATAATCCTTATTCCAAGAATAACATCAGCCAAACCCATATCTTTCATATCGAAATTTCTCTTGAACATTCTTTTCGTATCCATGATCACTTCATGGCTACTCCCCATGATCAACATATCGTTTAAATATAGACATACAATCACAAATGTATTTGATGTACTCTTGACATAAACACATTTATCACATTCGTTGATTTTGAAATCATTTGTCAACATCACGTCATCAAATTTCAAATGCCATTGTTTCGGAGCTTGTTTCAGTCCGTACAAGGATTTGATCAATCTACACACCTTTCTCTCTTGTCCAGGTGCAACAAACCCTTCAAGTTGTTCCATGTATATTCTTCTCCAATTTACCATTCAAAAATGTCGTTTTGACATCCATTTGGTGAATCTCAAGATTATGCACAGCAGCAATCGAGAGAAGCACTCTTATCGATGCTAAATGCGTAACAGGTGAATAGGTATCAAAAAAATCATACACGTCCTTTTGTTTAAAGCCTTTGACCATCAATCGTGCTTTAAACTTAATTTTAGGATCCATTTACATCCTAAAAGTTTACAACCATCAGAGAGATCAACCAACTCCCAAGTATGATTTTGCATAATGGACTCAATTTCATTATTTACAGCTTCTTCCCAGAGTAGTCCATCTGGGCTGGACAGAGCTTCCTTAAGGGAACTCGGTTCATTGTCCAACATGTACGTAATAAAATCAGGTCCAAATGTTTTAGTCGTTTTTAGCCGTTTTTAGCCTTTTACTACGTCTCGGTTCTTCATTAGTACCCTCTGGTATAGAACCACTAGCAGTTTCATATGTTCATTTATTAGAACTAGATTCTGCCATTTCTTTCAGAGGAAAAATATTCTCAAAGAATATAGCATTCCTCGACTCAATCGTGGTACCCACAGATACCTCTGGATTTTTTGATTTATGAACCAGAAATCTATATGTTGTACTATTGTACGCATATCCGATAAATATACAATCGTCCGTCTTTGGTCTGATTCTTACTTGTTTAGGTTCAGGTACTGAAACCTTAGCCAAACACCCCCACATTTTCAAGTATTTATAAGACGGCTTACGATTTT